AGAGCACAATTGGGGGTGTGGGTCTCCTTTTGTATCAAACTAGAGCAAAATTGTGGGGAGCAGAGACACATGGGAGAGGAGACTCTATTTTCTAAATTAAAGATCCACAAGCCAATTTACAAAAAAACATTGATTATAATTTGCACACATGCACATTTTTCTTGCAAAGTTGTCAGCGCACTAAACTGAAACAGATTCTGGTTCAGACCCAATTTTCGTATTTCCCTCCCCTAGTATTTAGTAGGGAAGATGAGCAAAGAGGAGTTGACTCAGCTGGATTATGTGAAAAAACATTGTTAAGAGTGTGAACAAACTTGTTGGAAGGGAAGAGGGGCAGATTTAAGGGGGCCCTTTGGCAAAATTGCCGGGGGGGGGGGGGGGGGGGAACCCACCTAGGAAAAGAACCTAGGCCTGGCAAACTTAACTAAACATGGTTTAATTCTCCAATCCGCATCTAATGACTGGATCTACATCCTGCCATTTAATTTCTCATCATGTTCCTGTCATAGTTTGTGCATTGTGGGAAAGGTAACTGACTAAGGATCCACCAGAAGGGCAGAGGAAGGGGCAAATAACAGTGTGCAACAATTTCACACAATTACTGTGATTATTTGCATGAGACTTCAGGACACAAGTACATAATGACAGTATCACAGTTTTCTGAGATTAATTTTTAAAATTTATTTTTAAATAGGAAGGATGAACTTGCTTACTTTTGTATAATTCCTGAAATCTTGGGTTTCATTTTGAGGACAACCACCCATATTCACCAAAGTGGGGGGGGGGGGTGACAAAGAGAAAGTCTTGCCTTAAATCAGCTTTTCTTAAACTGCTCTTAAAATGCTGCAACTTGCAAAACATTGGCAGGCCATTGATTCTTTTTGGTGCTGTCTTTTCCAGCATAGCCACCCTGAGATAACAATCTTAGCCCTCACCCAATTCCCATCATCTTTCCTTCTGCAGAATGACCACTGAGTTAGATGATCAGAGCTTCACAGAGAGCCTCATGTCCTCCAGGTATGATGACTCCCCCTTTGAAAGGCAACATGCCACAATATCCAGGGCCTGGATATTTGCAGGACATCTAACTATAATTGTTTCTCCTATAAGCATGGAAAGGGGAGACATGCCAAGGGTCCCATAATAAAATAATGCCATCTTATGGGACCAAAAGGTGTGCCTCATCTGTGACACACCATCTGGATGGTTCCAAGCCTCCTGGCCTTTAGGAGGGCCTTGAAAGCCCAGTTCTTCTCTGAGGCATTGGGCCAGAAGGCCAAAAAGGTTATCTGGTCACTCAAGTCATAACAGTCATAGCATGTCATAGCAGTGCCAGTCATGTCCTCTGTGGTTCCAGGTAGGGCAAGAGGAACTACAGCCATACATTTCCCCAGTCCTTCCAGAAGTAGTTTGCAGTTTTAACAAGGTTAGATCTTCAGCTCACGAGAGAACCAATCCCTCCTTTTATATCTGACAAAGCTTTCACCTCTCTTACGGATATACCCAAACTTTCTCCTGACAAAACATGGGAACAAAATAGGGGATATCTTGTCCTGCTGCCATACAGTTTTTCCCATAACAACTCCTGTCATCCTTTCTGGAATCAGAGGTAACCCTGACAATCTTAGACTTGGAGAAGTTCAGTCCTCCCTTCTCTCCACATCTGATCTGGTAGCAAAGCAAATTACAATGTCCACTCTTAATGAATTTCTCTCTTGGTTCTTTGGTTTTTATGTTTTTTTTCTTGATATCATATTGTTGGGCACTGGGCAAAGTCTTTTGGGATTGGGGCAGGTTAGTAGTACCAGTTATAAACAAACAAACTAGGAGCTCAGGGCACACAATTCTTCCTTGGAAATCTTAGACCTAGGAATCTATAATCTGTCATAGAATCCAAGTCTATTACTCTACTAGTTAGTCTCCCTGATAGGCTCTTACCTATAACACTCCTCACTCCTATCATATTCCTATCATTTCCCTATCGGTTATTCCTAGGGTAGATGCCCCGTCCTGGGCATTACAGTCCAGAAACATATATTAGGCTTAATGTGTGGAATTTGCCTGATTCATACATACATCAGATTTTCTGACAGTAAGCAGAGAAGAAACCAGAACTTGCATGAGGAAGCTTAAGTTTATTTATTTATTTTATTTATGCCGTCCATCTCCCCCAGTTAGCTCAGCAAATAGTCCTCTATTTGAAAAGCATTAGTCATTATCAGTTATTTGACAGCATCCTATACTTCACCAGCAACCTTTTGGAGGACAAGACCATTTATTTATCATTTCATTTCATTTGTTTGCTTGTTTGTTTTGTAGAACCTCCAAAATGCAAAACAGCCCTGCAGTGATGCCGTCTCACAGTTTGAAGGGTTAATGCAAAATAGGGACATTGAAAGCTAAACCTTGTTCTTCCAATTTTTTAACATGTTCCCCTCCCCTCCCCAAAAGCAAAACTTGCATTCCTGAACTTGGTGGCCTCTGAGAACCACATTTTGGTGCCCACCTCTGCACTGTTTAAGTTACTCTGTATTTCAAGCCTAGCCGATCAGCTGTTGGCACCTGGATACCCTAATGAGTAACCTTGCTGATCAGCCACCTAGTTACAGTTTTTCCTGTTATAATGAGATGAATTGTATTTCTATTTCAATTATAAACATTGTTTTTAAAAATACATAGGAATTAGGGAGTGAAAATGTTATACAAATCATTTTTTTTTTCTGTATGTGGAAAGGATTTCTTCTTTTCTAAAGAATAACTGACCAATCGACTCCCAGATTCTCTTAGAAAAGAAATGACTGTTAAGTCAGTCTAAGGGCCTAGCTGTGTATTATGTTCAAAGGTCTGCCCAGTGATTCATTTCAAAGGAATCTTTTTTAATAACAGCAGATTCTAAGCATGGGCAGCCTGATTTAAATCAGGACCACAGAGGAGGACAATGAATTAGAGGGGTAGAGAAGAAGGGGAAAATACAGATTAGGCTATCCTCCATATTGGAGTCCTGATCCAGATTGGTCCCTTGAATTTCCTTTTCAGTAAAGAAAAATGTAGTAGCTACAATCTACATATTTTAAATAATCTAAATTTAAATATAAGCTGTAGGAGTAGTTTAACCCTGAGTACAGTAATTTTAACCCTCAATTTCTTGGGGGAGGGGAGGTTTCTCTCCAGAAACTTACATCCAACTTAGCCAGGAATACATAGTCTGAATTGATTCCTGGCTAAGCTGTCCTTCGCTTTAATTCTGCTTTCCCTCCCTGCTTCCTGCATGATTTTTCTTTGTGGGATTCTAAAAACATTTGCCATCAAGGACTTCTTGAAGTCTGAAGAGAGGGAAGCAGAGGACTGGTGATGGAACAGAGATTCACCATCTTTTTGGCAGAGTGTTTGGAGTTTGGGGAGCTTGTCCTGGAAACTCTTACACAATGCTTGCTATGGTGGATGTGATCAGTCACAATAACCTATTTATCAGAATCATCCCCTACAGCCTCTCAAGATGTTCTCTCCCTCCAATTACTTAATTGATGCTTCTAAAAGAGTTGCTAGTTCAAGCAAATC